AACTCCATTTATTATCAATTAGTTATATGTTGTAAACTCATGATGAGTACGAATGTAATATGACATTAGGGCATCCCCATTAGTGATCCTCTAGTGAACCCCTCTTTTTGGATTATTTTAATATTTTTTTTTTCATTTGACTTTTCTAAAAAAAAATAATAATAATAATAAACCAACCAATTGCGGGCCGCCACGTGTCAATGGGGCCCGCGATTTGTCATGATACAGGTTCATAGCCATGAACTCTTCTGATGCAGATTCATAAAAAGTGTATTTTTATATTATTATTTTTTTCGATTTGCGTGTGAACCCTCATTGAGAATCTTCAAAAGCCATTTGCAGAGAAAATAGACAATAACCATGAAATTAGTAAGGATGGAAAAAGTTAATGGGACCCAACGTTAGTACGTGTATAATGACAGTGATAACCCTATTAATTTTTTAGTATGTTACGAAGCAAGAGAATTATGTATATACAGAAAAATAGTAGACCCCATTATTCAAAAAGTATTAGTTTATTTCTCTCTTTCGCTTTTTCTTTATCTTTTTCTTTTTAGTTTTCCTCATTAGTTTAATCTCTTTTTTTCATCATCGTACATTCCGCATTCTCTCTCTTTGCTTTGGTAATCTCTTGTTCACCTGTGTTCAAAGATTCAGCGGCGCTTTGATGATGAAGATGCATCGTCTCCTCTTACCACAAAAACCTCCCAAAATCGTTCCTTCATCAAACATTAAGGTTTCAAGTGAAACCTAAGATTAGGATTTACATCAAACCATAGTGTGACATCATATTATTGTTCAGTACTTTCAGTGCAATTTTTCTTTATTCTAATTTGTCTCATTATCGCCATAGAGATCTGCTGGGCACGAAAAAATAATATAATAATTAGCCAGATAATTCATATTAGTTTAGTCGGCTAACATTCATTAGTTTTGCCGGCTATTCGTTAGTTTAGCCGGCTAAAAAGATATATGTTTAACCGTGCTAAAAAGATATATTTATATGTTTAGCTGGCTAAAAAAGATATATGTTTTTGTATTTATTTTCCTTAAATTAATTTTAGATAATGTTAGTTTAACTCTCTTTTTTTTTTGAAACGATGTAAGCTTAACTTATATTGTTGATATGTATATTAGCCGGTTATAATGTTTCTTTTTCTGGATCATTTATAAATTAGCATGTTTATATTATGATTTAACTGGATATTTTTATGCTAGCTGATATTTAGATTTAAAATTACTAGTTATACATATAGTTTATTTATATCATTTTTAAAACTAGAATTGTTACATATTGATTTATCCGAATATTTTACATTGTAGCTGATATTTATTGTATATTTATCTGTCATTTTGAACAGTTGATGGTTGCTATTTTGTCTCAATTCGGAGAAGCAAAAGTTAACTCTCGAATAAGTCACAAAACATATTATTAGATTTATATTTTCGGCTAAACAGAAAATTAACTCATTAACAAATTACAATACAAATGATTAAAATAGGTTCTTTAACCGGTTAAGATTTGACTTGACTTTTTTTGTTATAGTTAGTTGGTAAAAGACTGGATGTATCACAAAAGTTTCATCATTAGACTGATATTGGGGCAAACTCAAGAATATCCAAAAGTTAAAGGACTTGTGTTGCAAAAAATAATATATCACCATCGTTGCTCAATCTCTTCCGTAACGAGACAGCGACGGTGAAAATGAGCACGGCTAAGCTAGAATCCGAGCACGATGAAGCTTGAATCCGAGCATGGCAATGTAGACAGAGAAAGACGATGTAGAAAAGAAAGAAGACTCATCGGAACGCCATATATTATCACGAACCTCTTTTCAAGAATTTGCTCACAATTTGAGTTTTAATTGGTAGAAGATACGCGAGTGCTAATGCATCAAAAATGATTTTTGTTTTCTTTTGAAAGTGATATTCACGGCTAAAAAGAATTGATATATATTGAAGAAAAAAAGTGATAAAATTATTATAGTGTTATGAGTTTAGGAGAGAGAAATAAGAAAACGCAGAGGAGTTTCGAAGAGAAGAAAGAGATATAACTTAAAAAGATATAGGTTTTGTAGGTTAGTAGGGGCAAAATGGCTATTAAAAAAAAACAGCTCAGCTTATACTGCTTTTTCCATCTTCGCAAATATTCCATTATCGATGTATATGCATTGCAATTTCTCAATCTTCAATGGGGGTGCTCTTAGAGTCATCTGATGTTGGACCAGTTCGTGGTTTGTTATTCCATGGTTGTCCATATTCTAAATTGTAGGATGTAGAATGAGAAAAGGTGTTAAAGAAAAAACAATGTCTGTACACACTAATTAAAGAAAAATAACCATCTGTTCTCAGTTGTTAGTGAGCAAAAAGCCCAGATAGTATTCCCAATTTCCCATTTCTGGTATTTTCATAAATCGTCTAATAAAATTTAAGATGCCAGAAAAATAGTTTGAACTCAAAAATTGTAGGGCTTTACCCCGAAGGGAGCCCTTCCAGAAATTCTCGAAGGCCCAAGACAAGCTTAGGCCCAGGAGGGGGTTTGGAAATAGTTTTCAACCAGCAATAGACGCGCCTCGGTTAGTACCTCATTAGCTGCGTCATTGCCCCAAGCGCAAAGATGAGTTTTTACTGAAGAAAGCCTCTTCTATTTATAGTCGTACAAAACCAATTACCTTGCATACTGCTTCCGATGTGGGATGTAGAACTTAGCTGATATAACCAAAACTGGGCCTGACTATTAAAAGCCCATAATAACTTGGGTAACCACTTCTCGTCGGAGCTCTGCCGCCAGATCAGAACAGTCCTCTTGTCTGTCCTTTCGGTCTTTACGTCGACAGTTCTCCGGCACCTCGTACACTTCCGCTCAATCAACGAAGGTACTGTTTTTACTCTTTTGACCTCTCCTTCATCATCCTCTGATACATTTGGTATAGAGAAATGATAGGTTAGTCTTATTGTTTAAAAAGGTACACTGCTTACAAAAGGAATGAAAGACACAGATGGTGACTTCTTGTTTGTTCCTCAGGCAGGAAGTGAGTTGCTCTTTATTATGTCTTAATTTGAAATTGTAAAGCTCATCTTTTGAGATGACAATAAGATGAATCATGAATGTTTACGGCTATGGATTGAAACCGAATGTGGAAGGCTTTTGGTATCTCCTGGTGAAATTGCTGTTCTACTTCAAGGTTTTCTTTATTTTTTTTTTCTGTTTCTTTTCTCTTTTGAATATTAGGAGTTGCTGTTATGTTAAATATCTTTATATATATAGATATCTTTTGCCTGGTGAAATTGCTGTTATACTTGAAGGTTTTAGATTCTCCATAGCCGGATGGAAAGTCTCGTGGTTATGTTGCTGAAATCTATGGTGCTCATTTCAGCTTCCTGATATTTGGACGAATAGGTACGTACTCGAGTCCTTTTCGATTCATAAGCCCTAATTGTATTTATAATCCACCCGTAATAAAAATCTTTATCGTTGGATGTGTGAAGGTGCTAATGGTCTTGCTGTACCAAGAGATTTTCTTTCACCAACGGCATAAGGCCTGACTACACAATTGTTCACAAGTTTGGCGGTGAACTCTTTACTGCTAAACAAGATTTCTCTCCACTCAATTTGGTCGCCTGGCATGGCAATTACGTGCCTTATAAGGTGAATACAGTAATTACTTTAGCCTAAAAAATTAAAAGCCCTTTCTTCTGATGTTAAGCATACAACATGTATATATGCAATAAGTAAGTAATGTTTCCTCATTGACCGTGCCATTAAGAGATCATGATTCTTATTTGAACTATGATCTTTCTTTTCGACTGTTTCTGCTTCCGATAGAGTTTCTTCTGGCACAGTTACAGAATGCTATCGAAAAAGAAGAATCACAATGTGATAAATATTTTTAGGAGATCACAGATGACAAACAAGTGGGAACATTAGCAATACAACAATGGTGAGGAATACAAATTACAGAGTTGATTACAACGCGTTGAGATTTGAAACAGATGAATATGGGGAATTAAAGGGTTACAAGAGGCTCTTCGGTGGTTTTGGTGTCATTGGCTGGTGCAGCCTCCTCTTGTTTTGTTGGCTCAGTCTCACCAGAAAATTTCTCATCAACAGCTTCGACCGCAGCTTCTTTTGTTTCTTCGGTCTTCACAGCCTCTGCAGCTGGCTCAGCCTCGGCAGGCTTGGCTGGTTCAGCTTCCGCCTGTGTCTCTGCTCCATCTACAGCAGACTCTTCCTTCTTCTCTGCAACAACTTCATCTGCCTTCTCCTGAGACACGACTTCGGATTCGACGTTCTTGGACTCGACAACAACATTCTCAGTGGTTGCAGCGGTTTCAAGGATATCAGACTCCTTAGGTTTGCTCGCACAGCCTCCCATGGTGTTAAAAAGAAAGAATCGGTTTGATACGAAGAAATATTACAATGGGAAGAACTGTGGAGCCAACAATGAACTCCTTTTCTGATCCCTTTTTTTTATAAAGCCAAAACTTATTTATTTTCTTATTAGAAGGCTGAGCAAATGTAGGACATGACATCCAAGAGATATATATAGTGGTTGTACGGACAACCCAAGACCAATACTATTTCAAGAAAACGACTAAATTTTTCATGTCACCGTAGATTCTCTGAGGCTCTTCTCTGTCAACGACCTATTCAACAGAACTAACCTTAACCTTTTTTTTCTACACCGTTCTTTTTTAGCCATCTCCAGCCTCAATAACTTGCCTGAGACAAACTCTCCATGTGTCATTAGACACTCCACAATACCAACCAACAAGAACAGCAGTGGATATTTTTAAATGGTAATCAAATAAGCAATTTAATTAAAATGAAAGATGTTAAAAAACAAAGAACCAAAAATATAAAGACAAAATCAGGTGCAAAACCTCCTTTTAGAAATTAGAGTTTAGATCTGTTTTCTGGTTGCAGACTAGAAATAAAGGTAAGATAACAGTCTCATATCATACTCAAAACCTGTTCCCATGTCAAAAGAGTTATTATCCTAGTTCTTTTTTCTAGCAGACGTCTTCGATTCTACTGCTGACGTTTCCTGGATGCCACCATGGGGGACGAGGCTTTTGTACATTGTCATAGCTTGAGCGATCATGCTAGCAGGATTTGCAGCAGAACTCGGAAGCAGCATTGTTGTACCCTAACAATGAACAGAATTATTACTCCATTAGATTATATTCCAAGGGAGGAAAATATCTGAACGTAGATAACCAGAAGAATCTGGCACAGTATGTTGCGTTTTAAAATAATGGTTTACCTCCTTAGCAATGTTGCCGAAAGCTTGAATGTATTGCTCCGCAACTCTCAAACTCGCAGCCTGCATTTTTAAATCAGTTTCAACATTTGCAAGTCTTGTAAGACACAGTAATCTCAATTTACAATCTAGACAGATATTGAGATAAAACGCTGTTTAATCTCACGTACTAACCTCCACTCCTCCAGTTTCGTTGAGGGATTGAGATAACATGGCCAGTCCTCTGGCTGTTGCTTGTGCTCTAGCTATTATTGCTTCTGCCTCACCTGGGACGCATTACAAAAAAAAAAGATGTTGTGTTGAAACAAATTGAAGAATGGCTTTACATATTATTATGATCCGTTCATGGCTTACTAAATAGTAAATACTAACCTGATGCTCTGTTGACTTGGTTTATCTTGGCAGCTTCTGATTCCAAGATTACAGAACTTTTCTTACCATCAGCTATGTTGATATGAGCTTGGCGTTCTCCTATTCAATTAAGTAAAAACAAATTATGAGAAACAAATTGACCATGCTTTATTCTGTATTTCTGAGCCAAGAAACTGACCGAACTGAGCTGTAACAAGCACACAGTTAAATCACAGAACATAGTTTGCAAAAAGATAAGACATGGAAATTAACCTTCAGACTCAAGAATCTGAGCTCTCTTTCTACGTTCAGCCTCAGCTTGCATTTCCATAGCAACCCTCACTCCATTAGGAGGCATGATATCCCCTGGATAGAAATGGTAATTCATAAATATTCCAAAAGGACATCAAGCTAAAAGAATCAAAAGAATCAAATAGAAAAAGTACTCACTAATCTCATAACGAAGGCACTCAAGACCCCAGTCTTTTGCAGCGACATTGATGGCTTCCTGCAAGAACAATTCCGTCTCAAAATCATCATATGCTTGTGGTATCCATTACAAGAACTAGGAACGCATAATATAATCCCCAATGGTATACTATTATACTCTTATCTTGCAAAGTAAACTCAAACCTCATAGCCAGTAGTGACGGAAAATGAACAAAACAGCTAAACAATACCAACAGCAATCTTAGGTACTACAAATGCATAATGAAACTTTTATCTAACAGAAACTAAAATCAAACTCAAACCCAGCAATCACTAAAACGAGCAAAGCAGCACAAAAAGTTTTCACATGTAACATCACTGACCATGACATGAAACTAAGATCAAGTAAGGGCAAAAGAAGACGAACCACAATCTTTTCGTTCAACGTATCACGTTCCTCAAACGTCTTGTCAAGAGTAATCTTCCCGAGTTCACTACGCATAGTGGTTTGAGCCAACTGCATAACAGCGTAGATGGGATTCTCAACGCCATAAGACGCCAAATGCGGATTCACAATCTGCAACAAGACACAAAAAAAAAACAAAATCAAACGCAAGAAAAAAAAAACTAACAAAGAAAATAAAATAAATAAAAACAAACCTTGACGTAAAGAACACCATCGATGTGGATGCTGACGTTATCCTTGGTAATGGCAGTCTGGTTCGCAATCGGAATGGCTTCCTCCTTGAGCGAATGAACGTAAGCAATACGATCCACTCCTGGAACGAGGAAGTGGATCCCCGACTCCAGAGTCTTGACGTATTTGCCGAACCTCTCAATCACGCACGCTCTCTTCTCCGGCACGATTCGGATCCCCCAGTTCACCGGCGGCTTGATTTGGTAACTTCAAGAAACGTATCACTAAGATTCAACACAATGTATCTAGACTAGTTCGTTCTAGTCTACTATAAGCTTAGATTTTACCTGTTGAGAGCATGACCGGGAGAGGTGAAGTGGCGGACGGGAGTAGTGCTGGCGGCGGCGCCGGAGAGTAGAGGGGAAGATTGACGGAGGTAGCTCAGGGATCTTACGGCGTTGGTAGCTACGGATCTGGAACGGATTACTTGGTTCATCTTCTTCAAGCTACAGACTAAAACCCTCTTTAAATCTTTTATTTGAATTATTTAATATTTAATGGATGGGCTATACATATATATATACACATGGATGAAATACTTGGAGAAGAGGCAAAATTGGGTTTGCCATTTTTCTTTTTAAATTTTATTTTTTAACAAGTTTAGATGACTCGTGTGAGTGCAGATCACGAAGAGTAATGTACTATGTTGGCTTGAACCCAAAGTAAAATAAAACCTACCTGTGAAATTAAAAATTTTATGAGAAAATGACTTAGAACCCAAAGTAAAATAAAACCTACATGTGAAATTAAAACACTATTATTCATTAAAGTTATTTTTAGTAATAAAGTTTAGAACCAATCTGTGGGAAATTAATTAACTATGCACCTAGCTAGTGCATTTTCATGAACTGTTGTCAATATTTCATACATTGACAAAAAAAAAAATTGCACGACTTCTTTAATGCGTAGGTATGCACATAATTTTTTGAACATGAGTAAACGCATAAATACCTATTTTCATTTAAGTATAATTCGTTGTCAAATTTCTATAATACTATATCAGATTTGTATAAATGATATAAAAATTATAATATCAAAATATATTATGCATATGTCATACAAAGTATATTAATAATATTTTTTGAGCCAAACTATTAAAATATAGTTAAAACAAATTTAAATATATGTATTTGTTTAAGTATTTCTAATTTATTTACTGATTAAGTTATTTAAAATGGTAGGCAAAATTACTGAATCGAAAGTCAAACCCAAATCAACTCAAACCAAACAAAAATATATGTCCAGCTATATGGTTAAAGGTTTTATCAACCGAAGTGTTGATTTAATTAAATTAATTAAAAATATTAATAATATTCACTTTTAATAATTTAACCATCTAATCTCAACAATTAAGCATAATTTTTTACACTTTCAATTAATAGAAAAACACAATTGACAATAGAAGAAAACGATAGAAATTTCAAACACTATCTTCAAAACCAAAAATTACTATAATATTTATATTGGGTTTGAAGATAATAATATAAAGTCAATGGATTACATCTTTACATTTTTATTGTAAATTTTGGCTTTACGTTTAAATATGAAAAATGTAATTTAGTAACAAATGATTATTTTTTAATAGTTTATAAATTATATATTCATAACCGAACTAAGACAAACCTAAACCCAAATCTACTGAACTCAATAAACACAAACAAAACTGAACTGAATTGAACCGAACACAATACTTTATTAACATCTAAAAATTTGTTACAAATTTTGTCAAACACAATACCATATTAACTCCTAAAAGTTGTATTTAATCTTACACTATAAATCAGTATTTGTTTTCCTTTATAAATCAGTGTTTGTTTTAGAAACTGTTAGGCGCTTGTCCAAAAATAAAAAGAAAGAAACTGTTAGGCACTACATTACAAGAAAATTCGTCTATTAATAGGACGGATTTTCCTTGTTATTTCCTAGTAAATGACCATTTATTAGGAAATAACAGGAAACACGTTCATCGTAAAGCCTTTATCCTCGTAAGATCATAGCTAATTTACGAGTAAACTTTTCCTCGTAAACGCGTGGTTATTTTTTTCTCATAAGGTCCTCGTAAGTTTTCCTTGTAATGTCATAGTAAATAATTTCCTCGTAAGCTCGTTGTAATACATTACGAGAAACTTACTAGAACAATTTACGAGGACATTACTTCGAAACCTTTACGAGGACTTTGCTTCGAAATATTTTTTTCCCTATTAAAAAAATATTAATTATAAATATAAATAATATTTTTTTAAAAATAAAAAATCAAATTATAAATAAGAAATAAAAAAATAAAATATTTTATAAATAACTAAATAATATACAATTAAGTTTTAAAATTCATAATATACAATTAAAATAAAAAACTACGGATGGTGCTCGTGAAATTGCCGAACGAAATCGTCCTGGCTCGCCAAATCCTCCTCCTCTCCAAAGTTGGTTGCCGGCTGTGACTGTGATGGTGGAGGCTGTTGGGTTGGAAGCCCTCCGTGTTCCCGTCTCTAACGCAACATCTTCTCCAATTGCGGGTTTCCAACCGCCAAAAAGTCGAGGACATCGGTGAGAGAAGTCACATGGTCGGTGAGCGAACTCACATGAGACTGCGTCGCCTGCAACTCTGAGTGCAGCTGAGCATTGACATCGTGCTGCTCCTGAGCATAAGACGATGTCGCTGCGGGGACATCGTTAACCGCGCCAATCCCGACGATACATCTCTTTTTCCTAGGGCGACCTGTAAATAAAAATATTAATAACGTTAAGAAAAAAATTTAAATAAATAATAAAAATTAATAGTAAAACAAATTATTTACCTCCTCATAAATCTTATCCACTTCAAGAGTGGATAATATGACTGGAGTCCCAGTCTGCTGAGTCAGCTGGGTCTGGCGTTCGTCAGCTCGGGCAACAACCTCACTGTAGGTCCGCTCGGAAACAGGATCTATAAATTGCCCAGCCTTGTTCCGGTGTGTCTTCTCGTAATGGTCTTTCAGAGATGGAAGAACTCCTATCTCTTTAGCCTAAAAATAATTTTTAAAATTAAATATTAATTTGGAATATTCAAATAAAGTAAAAATTAAATAGTTACTAAAAATCATCTTACCATGTCTAGACAAACTCTCCCGTGAGGTTTTCGACCCGTGGTGTGAAGCATCTTCGTGTTGCCATGCTCGTCTTTGGTCATGCGGTTCCCGGAGTTTGTGTGGGAGGTTCTGACCGAGTCCGGCAACCCCCAATAGCTGATGAGGCTATCCCACACCGTGGTTGTGAGGCAATCGGGTTTCCTGTCCTCGTAACCATCCACCTGATTTAAAATAACTAGAATTAAAATCAATAATATTTTTAAAACCATATATATATATATATTATAATTTATAAATCCAGACCTGAAAGTCGCACTTCCAGTTGTAGACCATGTCGAGCAATCGTGCTCTTGCCCTGGCCTCAAACTCCGTCTTCACCTGCTGGTGAATCCCAATAGACCAACGATATTTTTGCTGTAATCAGAAAAAAATAAGAGACGGATTAGTTCAATAATATTAATAATTTTAAATAATTAAAAATAAATTAAGTTGATTAATTAAATTAAACTTACAGCGAACGATTTGAACCACGAATTTTTTTGTGTGGCTCGCCGTCTTCTTCCAGTTTGGAGCTGCATCAGGAAAGTATCTCTTGATACAGTCCGTGACGTTAGTTGCGACACATCCGTTAAGACCAAACCTGGAAAAACACAAAATAAATCATTAATTAGATTAATTTGTAAATATTTTGTTAATTAAGAAATAAATTAAAAACACTTTTTAAAAATTAAAAAATACCATAATACGTTTTGGCCGTCCCGTCGGATAGGATCTAACTCTAGCAGCCCTTCTCTGCCTGGAAGGACCAAAATATCCTCCACCGTGTACACCGCAAAGGGTGCGTTCGGCGGCACCTGCAAATCGGGATGAACCCCGACCGGTGGAGGAGGAAGAGGAGGAGGAGGTGGAGGTGGAGTAGGAGGTGGTTGCTCAAACCGGGACGCCGTAGAAGCTCCCTGAGTCTCGGGAACATCGTCAGGATCCGGAATCGAAGATGAACCGGAAGCTGACGAAGATGAACCTGGACCAGACTGACGCCCGAGCCCGAAAAGATCTCCATAGTGACTCCTCTGAAGAGGCCTCTTAATAGCCTTAGCAATCTTGCTATGTCTGACCATCTAAATTTAAAAAAAAAAAAAACATTAATTTCCGTATAATTTAAAAAAAAACAGTTAAAAAAAGTAAACCAACCTAATATAAATTACCTAAAATAACCACATAATCTAAATTCCCTAAACTAACCACATAATCTAAATTCCCTAATCTAATCACCTAACTAGGAAATAGAGAGAACCTTAAGAGAATTCAGAGAGAAGTTTACTACAAATGAGAAACCGGATTGCTCGAGTTTATATAAGGAATTTTGTTTCCTCGTAAAGCCCTAGTAACATTATTAGGCCTTTACGAGGAAATAGCTATGCCCGTGTTTTTATTTCCTCGTAAAGTCCTAGTAATACCATTACTAGGACTTTACGAGGAAAATGCTTTACGAGGAAATAGCTATGCCCGCGTTTTTTTCCTCGTAAAGTCCTAGTAAGGTATTACTAGGACTTTACGAGGAAACGGTTATGCCCGCGTTTTCTATTACTAGGGCTTTACGAGGAAAGGGTTTGTAAATCCCTAAACTCGAAACCCCAAACCCCAAACCCCAAACCACAACTTCCTTAACTTATAACCTCTTCTACAACCAAACTCCTAACCTCTTCTACACATAAACCCCAAATGCAAATTGATTTTGTGATTAAACAAACTTAAAACATATATAATCCAAATTCATTTTTGTGATTAAACAAACTTATAAAAATACATAATTAATTCGGATACATTCTCGTAATCTGTTGAAACATCATCATTTTCTAAAAACTCTTCGTCTACACCTTCGTCCGTTGAGTGATCAGGAACATCTTCGTATTCACGATTATGCGGATCAATGAGTAGGATGTCATCAATTTCTGCTTCAGGTTCCTCGATCTCATTGGTGTTTTCTTCTTGTAATGGTGGTTCTTCTCCAGCGATTATTCGTCCTCGAGGTGTAACTTTGATAACAGTTAACCAGTTTATTCCCGAGGTAGTAATCTGAGGGTATGTAATGAAGCAAACTTGGTCTGCTTGGGAAGCTAATATGAAAGGCTCGAACTTGTTGTACCTTCGTCCACCGTTGACATCAACTCCACCATTCTTGTTAATCCGAACACCTCTGTTGACGACGGGGTCGTACCACTCACACTTGAAGATAACGCATTTCAAACTCATACCTGGGAATTGAACTTCATAAATCTCCTGCAAGATCCCGTAGAAATCTGTTTCGCCTTTCACAATATTCCATAATTACTTGTTGCCCGGTGTCTACCATAGTCATAGGTATGAA